CCCATTGACCCCACGCGGCAGTTGCGGGTTGTAAACGCAGAAAGGCCCAAGGAGGATCGAGTCAGGACGGGCAGACGCAAGTCATTGCTTGTTTGGTAGTATGCTTTGCGCTGTGGCGTGGCATCTGTATGCAGGTTATATGGATATGCGCCTTGCAGAGAGGCGAGATGCTGCAGATGTAGGCCGATGGAGAGGGAAGGGCGAAGTCGAGTCTCGGTGGCGGCATCTGACCGGCCATGGTGTTGACGAGAGGTTGAGGTGGGTTGAAAGTGTGTGAGATGGTGCGGGGTGGTCTCCGTTCGGCCGCTGTATTCCGTCGGCATCGCCCAGTCAATAATGGTGGTGATATCCATACTCCCGAACGCTTAGTGTCGTATGGTGTTGAACTCAGGCCCGGGGGACGGCGGCGCGAAGAGGGTTCCAGAGTTTTCGACACGTCCCATAGTCGGGCTTGGTGCTTGGCGGTTGCATTGTCGACGACTGACAGCCATCAGGGCGAGGGTGAGAGGCACGACAGGCGGGTAGACGCAGGGAAATTGAGGCCGAAGATGCAGGAGGTGTTGGTTGGGTCGAAACGGGGCATGGTGTTGGATATGCCGCTGGCCGGACAATGCCACAGCATTCGCAGTGTACAGACTCCAGAGTAGTAGAGTCTTGCAACTGGCACTGGAACCTGATGTATGGGACTGAGCCCGACGGGCCAGGGGCTGTGAGGGGTCGCTCAGAGACATCCACTTGAACATGGACATGGTTGGAGTCAAATGTCGGATTACCGGCTCGGTGGAGCACACGACAGGCGACGTTGGACGACAATGGGCGCCTCAATGTCCGCGAGAGGAAGGGATCGTGGTAGTTAAGGTTTGAGAAGTGGAGGATGAGCGTGTGGCAAGCAACGAGACTGCGACGAGGCAACCAATAGCGACAGGCTGGTATTGTTTTCTGAAGCTCATGAGTGCATGTTTGGAGGGGCGCATTGCCTTTCTCGATGTTGAAGGAATCTGGGAGGGCGCAACATCAACGTCTCTCTGGCTGTGGTTGACCGTTGAAGTTTTAACGAACCATCGACGGAGCGGCATGTCGTTGGCTTGCTCCTGCCCTACCGTTTCCTGTTGAGCGTCCCTCCCCTTCCATTTCAGATTCACTAAGTAATACGTACCTTTCTTCCTCTGACAACCACGGAAGCAAGTGGGAAGTATCCAGGTACCTCAGATTCCAATGGCAAGAGTGAATTTGCCCGTCCCGAGGTTCCTCCTGCCTTCTCAAGATGTCCCATCTTCAAGCATGAGGACGGCGCGGTCTAGACTTTCTGGCCTCTTGGAGCTGCAAATGAAGCAATTTCTTTCTGTGACATCCAACCCGGTTAATCGATGCAAACGAAGAAGTAATCGGGGGAAGGGGGGGACGCAGCCGTGGGCTCCCTACGTGTTCATGTTTATGCACCAAACAGCATCTTCCATTGGCCCTAGTACAGGCCATTCCTAGCCAAACGCAATAATTCGCCAACCGTCCCGAACGGTCTTTGGGGACGTTGACGTCCCTCGGCCAAACTCCCCGTCGTCACCCACGCGCTAACACAATCTTTCAGGTCCAGTCACCATCATTTCCGCTGGCGCTGACGTCGGTCAAATTCCCGCATGCCTTTCTAGTTGTCACTGCGACCGACCATATCTATTAGTCAGGGACCCCGAGCAGTTCCCCTGCCCTACGCCTTAGCATCCAGTCCGGCGCCGTCAAACCTCAGAGAAATGGACCATACTTCGTTCAGCCCGCAGAAAAGGCGGGTTGCGACGTCGATATTCGAGTGGATGAAGGATCTTGGACAAATTGAATCTCGGGATTGAGCGTCCCTGATCGGCCTAGCGTAGATTCCCTCGTTCCGCCTCCTGACGGTGTGCTACCACAGCTGGATCTCTCTTTACCAGTCGGCAACAGCAGAGTCAGGTATCCAAAGCCATTCCACCGAGCACTGGAGAAACGAGGCCCAGACCCTTCATACCTTGCCTGGAAGATGGAAAGTCTAGGATTGGAAACTTCGCCGCGCCTGAGAAGCGCCAGACTCCAACCGATCAGTCCGGTATGGTCCTAATCCTGGCCTCGTGTTAGCTCATCAGTCCTGATCCACGTCAAGTCCAGCAGGACGTCATCGCCGTGATCGACACGGACGACAACCGGCTTCCCAAAACGGCAAGAGAGCGACCGTTTTGCACACCATCAACACCTTGCCAACAGCCATCAACCCGTCAACTGCATGCTTGCTACCACCAATGGCAGGGTTTTCTTTTTGCCTCGCCTTGGAGGTACGGAGGGCCGTCTCACATCCCTCCGCGGGAAGGCTCTGCTTCCTGAAGTTTCACTCTCCTGAGCCAATACCATCTGGTCGGACCCTTGGGTCGGAATAATTACACCAATCTTGGCTGAGTTCATTCCGCGGCACCTGCGCTCTCGCCTCTCCCTTGTCTCGGGACGCTTTTGCACTTTCGATTGAGGCGGCCATACATGTTATCTTCTGTGTGCCTACCTACTCCGTAGTCCTCTGCACAATATCATCATCATCGTCTTTGAAGGGCACATTCCATTGCGCATCACGAGACGTCAGCGGTCAGCAAGCAGCTCCGTTGCCAACAAATCAACTGTCGCTTGCAACGGATTGCATGTTTCAGTAACAGAGCAGTGCTCCTTTTGGTCCTGCCAGCTGGAAAGCCACAATCCACCTCGACATTCACGGTTTGGCAACAAATCCTCCGAGCAAATTTTGGCTTTCTGCTATTGTGCCTGATTGAGGACCAGAGGCCACAGAAAAGCAGACACCGAGACAGGAATTGCATGTCAACTCCAGAAATCCCCCCGTCTCATGCGACGTCCGCCTGGTTTTCATCTGAACTTTGTGAGAACCATCTACACTGCAGACGAAACGGCCCTAGCCAAGCAAACCGCTCCTGCATGTACCCTCTGACTGGCCTGACTCTTCGACCTCGAGTCTGAGCACCTTCAACTACGGATACTTAGGCTCTGTGGCTGATTGTCAACCCGGCTGTCGACGCGCTTGACTTGTACGGTGGTGGGCTAAGAAGTCTACCTAGCAGTGAAAGGAAAAGGCCACGCCACCCGGCACTGGTGTTATTCGTCTGCCGTCATCTCGTTGGCTGCCCCGTCACTGACGGCGGCGCTACTTCACGGCATTGGCATTGACGTTTACGCACGTCCGCCCATTTTCTACCAATCTTTTCCGTCAGCTTGGGGTAAGGTACAGCCAAATACTTTTGGCGATCATTTGCAATACTTCACGCACAGAGGTCAGCACCCGAGAAGAAGACGCTCTTTGGCATTTGCGCTACATGCAGCCTTGTCACTGTGAGAAGCGACCAGCCGCCGTCAAGTCCGGATAATCGCAGCCACTCGCCATCTTCCGAAGACCCCTACTGGAGGAACATTGCGCGCCCTGAGTACCTACTCCGTACACTACACCGTTCGACCAAGTGACATCCTTGGCCTTATCACCCAAGTCCTTGGTTTCCGCAGAATTCGCCAACGCCCGTACCGATACCACCGTCACGACGCCTACAGTACTTCGTACTTTTGTACGGATACACTACGGCCGGTCCCCCGCTACACCGAAGACAAGCTCTCGGGCAACCAGTCGTATTGTCCCATTGTTTGCTGACTGTCTCCCTGACATCCCATTCTGAGCTACCAAGGGGATAAGAATACACGGCCTGGAGAGGGCCCCAGTGCATCCATCCATCAGAATCCATCATCAAAGCGAACCCCCCGCGATCCTTGCTGCTGAGTCGACAGGGATCAGTCGACTCCTCTCTCCGTCATTGCGCCCGGGATAATCCCCCTCCCAGAGTGCTCGACGTCGCAGTGTCTTCAACCACTGCCCAACTTTTGCCCCCCTTCCCTTCTGGCTCTCTCTCTTGCATTTCTCGCATGCCTCAGCCTCAGTGACGTTATCTCTGTACTACAATACTTGGTAAGTAATCCTCCCTTCCTCCTACATACACACATCCCACTTCTTCACCTCATCTTTCTTGTACGCACAAACACGCCATGCGTATGGTCTATACTCGGCACAACCATCCACAGCGTATGGAACCATATGGAGACCTTGCATGGATTCATTCATCCTATTTTTGAGACTACGCCCGCCCATTCAGCATTTACTTGAGTCTCTTAACAAAGCTGACTCGCCCCTCTTTTCCTACGGTACTGCAGATGCATGCAGTTGGATTTCCACTACGGAGTACAGTCCACAACAGACAGACTGGGACGTTTCGACAGCGATCCGACGACAGAGTCCACCCAACTCCAGCCCGACCTGCTAGCCCGACCTCAGAACCCGACCTGACCCAGCCCATCTGACGGGGGTCTTCCACTACAAACACGACCAGAGGAACGGCAAGAGAGCAAACTGAAGTGATCTGAGAGGAGACCGGGACCCCGCCATCTCTCATCAACCAAAAAGAATCCACCTCACATCCAATCTCAGCGGGTATCCCAACGAGTTGCCCCTCCTCTTTCTCTCTTTCACTCTCCGTGCAAAGGGGGAAAAAAGAACAAAATAGAGCACCGTCCACTTGGTAGCTCTATCACCCAAAATCAGACAACAAAGTGAGACACCTCGACGCCCAAACAAGCGACAGCCCGAAAAAGGGCGCCAAAGCACCTCCAAGTCAAAGCGACCGAGAGGGGGAAAGGAAAAAAAAAATAGGAAAGTGAGAGAAGACGAGACCAAATTTCCTTAGGGCGGAATTCCTCACGTGGTTGCGACGTGCGTCTTGCCGCTACGGCCGTCCCGCTTCATATCCATCTGTTCAAGGTGGTCAGCGCCCAACCCAATTCCCGACTGCCCCTCCTCACCTCATCCTCCTCCCTCAACGTGCACCCTCGAGGCGCTGAGCATTCTGTCTCATCCAACTCATCTGGAAAGCACCTCGGCGGCGACAAGCGATAGCCACAAGTAGCACGACTCGTCGACGACTCGACCAGTCAACGTTGCCATGGATCACCGCTACTCGTCATCGCGGTACACCACCGCTCGGCCGCGGTCGCCGACTTTCAATCCTGCGAGGGCTTCGCTTCCCACCAGTATTGGCTACAGTTCCATGTACGGGGGTGATATTCATGTCATGCCCACGTCTTCGACGAGATATGCCTCCGGCAGTTCTCGAAGTCATCATTCCGGGACGCCGACGACCACGACCACTACCTATGCAGTCACCAAAGACCCCCTCGCCCGCGGCCCAGGCCTGAGAGAAGCTAGCCGCAATCGCTCTCATCGCTCATCGACCCTCGACTCTACCTCTGCCCGCCCAGTCATTGTTACCACGACCACCCGACCGCCGCAAGCCAGTTCATCATCGCACCATTCGGCGAGCAACAGACATAGCAGCCCGACTCGCGATGAGTATCGCTCCAGCGACTCAACATTTTACACGCAGCCTGCGTCATCCATACGTTCTCGAAGCCATCACCGCGGTGGCTCTTACAGCGCAACCATGGACAACGAAGAATTTACCCGCATGCGCGAGCGAACCCTCGATCCTACACCGTCTAGGCACGATTCGTACCGCCCTTCGAGGTCTTCGGCCATTTATACCAATACTTCCCGCCATGGAAATGCTCCAGTCGACATTGGCGGCACGGATGGCTACGAATATACTACACCAAGCGACTTGGCACGATACGATTTGGATCACACCCGACCTCCTTCACGATCACGAAGGCGAGAGAGCATCGATCGTGGCTACTACCGACCGAGTGTGAATGTCACGACGACTGAAAGCACTAGTCGTGCATACGATGTTGGACGACAGCGAGCAGGCCCTCCGCCCACCACCTGGGGCTTGGATAAAATCAATCGCTCCTCCACGAACGTATACGATCCGGCCCAAAGCTCGATCCCTCCTGCAGCCCCTGCAGCGCCTGTCCATCTACCAGTGCCTCCAAGCCCGACCAGCCGACGCTCTACTGGTGGTATCCCTTCTTCCATGGATGTCGCCGCAGCAACTTCCGTAGCGGCAGCGACTGTCGCAGGAGCAACTGCCTCTCGGCGGCCTGTATCCGTGTACAATGAGGGGCCTCCTCGATCCAGCCATCACGAGGATTACTACCGAAGTCGCGATGATGATCGGGCTCAGCGACAGGCTCGGGAGCCTGATCGCAAATATGATCCCATTTATGGCAGTGGTGACTACTACGACAATGGAGTCACCAGCCGTGGTTTCGGTATCCGTACAGACTCAGCTCCCGTTGGCGGCGATTTCGAGGACCGACGGAGAGAGGCACGACCTGAGTCTCGAAATGGTTATCGCCCAGACTCCCGTACTGGATATAGGCCAGAGTCGCGCGGCGGTCCCCGACCAGAGTCTAGAAGTGGTCATCGAACATCTCCTCCGGATGTCAAGAGAGGATCCGATGATGAATCCAAGCGCCGAGACGAAAAGGATCGCTCCAAGCGTGATTCAGCCCGCCTCGAAACCGACAAGGATCGCCATCTGCGGCGGACTAGCACAGCTAATGAGGATGAAGCCGAGAAGAAGCGCCTGCGTGATAAGTTAAGTGCAGGACTTGGTCTTGCGGCCACCGCGATTGGCCTCGGCTCGGCCGTGAAGGAGAAGGAGAAGGAGAAGGACGAGCGCCCCGAAAAGTCGGAGCGAGAGTCCCGGGAGCCCCGGCGCCGAAACGATGAAGAGGATCCTGGAGCTCGTGCTGCCGAGAGATACAAGCCTCGGGAGGAGTCTCGGGACCCTCGTGACCGTGCGCCCGTCATTGTCGAAACTCGCAGGGCTGCTGCCGAGCAAGAGGCAGATGCCCGTGATCGTGAAAAGGAGCGTGAAAAAGAGCGCGATCGAGAGCGTGACCGAGAGCGTGATCGCGACCGCAACCGCCGGGATGCTGAAGCCAAGCTCACGGGCGATTCTACAGCTGCACAAAGAGATGCGTCCCCGGAAGACGACGAGCAAAAGTCAAGACGTCCGAAGCGGCAGATTGGCTTCAATCCTACCAACACCAACGACATTCGGGAGTTGAAGGAGCAACTGGCAGCCATGAAGGATGACAAGCCCGAAAGGGTTCCCGTTCCTGTTGACAGATCAGACCGTGCAGACCGCGTCGATCGGTCGGAGCGCTCAGAACGTCCAGAACGGTCTGAGAGATACGAACGATCCGACCGATTGGACAGGCCCGAACGATCTGAAAGAGATGATAGATCAGACAAGCAGACATATGCTGATCTTCCGTTCCGCGAGCCACACAAAGAGCCGAAGGAACGCACACCTTCACCCAAGAAGGAGTCACCGCCACCAAAGAGAGAATCGCCCGTCTCACTCCCTTCAGCCGACTCAATTGTTACTTCATCTAGGGATGAACATCGCGACCGCGACCGCGACCTCACACCACCTCGTGATGAGAAGCAGGTCCGCGTTGTGTCTCCACCTCGCGACAAGTCCGACGCAAAGCCTCTCAAGGGTATCTTGAAGGCACCTAAGAAGTACCCCGAAGAGGACAACCCAATTCGTGAGGGTGTGGCACCTCATAAGGATGACAAGAAACTGAGGGAAGTTCCTCCTGGTGCCCGATGGACCAAGATCAGCCGGAAGATCGTCAACCCTGAGGCCTTGACCGTTGGCAAGGAGCGTTTCGAAGTCAGAGACGACTTCGTCATTGTCCTTCGCGTTCTCAGCAAGGAGGAGATCCAGGCCTATGCCGCCGCAACACAGGTCTTGAGAGGTATGTTAAGCAACTAGAAGCACTTGCTTTAACATCGACTAATTTGTGGAACAGAACGGAGACGTGAAGAGACTGGCAAGGACCGGGACCGCGGCGATCGCGACCGGGACCAGGATCGTGGACGTGACCACGATGGTGAAGATGACGACAAGCGGAAGCATCGTCATCACAGGCGAGAAGACGGCGATGATGACCGGTACGATGAGGAGCGCGACAGAGAGCGCCACCGCAGACATCGTCGAGATGAAGACGAGTACGACGACGACTCGAGGCGACGTGATGATCACCACCACCGTCACCGCGAGCGTGACCGCGAGCCTCTCGCCATTGAGGGTTGATCAGTACGGCAGAGGGAGATGTAAGAGGAAGCATGTAGCAGGAGAAGATGATGATAGTTGTATGCGCGGATCTTTGGTTATCTAACGGCAGCATTGGACGAGGAGCCCTTGAAAGCGAGAAGCGTATCTTTCCATTGAATTTATACACCTTTATATCTTATTTTCACAGATTTGGGACAGCGAGAGATATTTATGACTTCCACGTGTGGAGTGACTGGGTTCAGCGGCTATCAAGTCAATTCAAGAAAACAAAAATACCATTGGATTTGCATATGATACATCCCGTCCACTTTTTGCGTGCTTGGCTGTGAACAATTATCGCCCCCGCAGAGGAGAATGGGATCCCGAAGGACTGAAGGAGTGAGACCAGAGGTTTTGGAGGGTAGAGGGCCCAGAAATAATGGTCTCGTGAGGTGGTTTGCACGGTCTGGTCTTAGAGTTCGCGCGAACACCATGACGTACGGAGGTTAGCTTCGTGGGTGAGGGGTTTCGTGCTCGGTCTTGTCCGGAGGTGTGTGGCCGGCTTCTTGGGGCGGGTTGGGGGAGGAGGAGGCGTTACGGGATGAGCTTAGATGCGTCACAACGATTTGCTATGTTTTTTCTTAAGCTTATATCTCAGGTCTGTTGTAAACTGATTGAACGGCTTAAGCATTCTTTCATTGTTTCGTTGAGTGAGGTTGCTTGAGGTTGGGAAAGCAGTTGAAGGAGCGTGAGCTGGTTGGTGGGTTTGGAGAAGGGGGTTGAGGGTTCATCGAATCTGTGTCGGACGGGTGGCATCTCCTGTCACCGTGCCTTGCCTCACTATGACTGACTAGCTCAAGTCATACCATTCTCCAAGTATCTTTTCAGAGATACGATCGTCGGGCTGGTTCTACTTTGGGGGATGCTTTGATCTTGCCTTGAGTTGCAGCGCTTGACGTTCATTTGCGTCAATAAGGTGGTACTTGAGGAAAGTAGGGTTTGGAAGTCGTGCAGAAGGTAGCAAAACTGAGGCATTATCAATGTCAGGCGATTAATTTTGACCAAGCTGTTGGCTATGATAAGATTGAGAAAGTGCAAGATGAAGATAGCACCAGATGGAGGGGTATAATACAAAGTCTTCCTGTCCGGGAGGCCCGCTGCCTTCCGGCCGGGTGTGGGCCTGCGAATATACGGACGCGGATGTGGGACCTCCGAAAGGCCCGAGACATACTGCTTTACAATCCCCGTCTTTGTTACAAATAGGCTGGATGAACCCTGCGTGATCCCGGATGACGACCATCCAGCACCAACAACTCAACATTTCACGCACCACCACTTTCCAGGGGCTTGCACCTATCAAAAAAAAACCTGTAAGCGATTAGCCTCGTTGCTCTCTTTATACTATAGGATCCCTAGGACAGATTTGCGGTGCCATTTCAGCTTAGGGACCTCCAAGTCTTTGGCCTTGAGATCGGATACGGCGAGATGATCGTGGCTTTATATCAGAGTGACCGGGGAATGAAGAGGTGGTTGAGCATGCTGGTCGGTTGTTCTCAGGCGCACGCGTCGTGACTGCTACTGTGGGCGACTGTGCTCATGAAAAGCCCTTCAGGAATCTAGGTCGGACTCTCATCTGGCTCGACGAACAGAGGTTCGAACAAGGAATGGTTCAGTAATGTTGGCTTTTTGGCAATTATCCCACTCCAACTTTTCAGACGGGACATGAGAGGACCATTTTGAAAATGAAGCTCTGATGCGCATCGATGACTTCAACTTCGCTTCCCGCTCATCAGTTGCGAGTTGTCTTACAACCTTCCGCATCTTGCCCACTGGAAGATAAGGTGATCATTTAGAAATGGATGGCGTTCTCAAGGAAATGTGCCCAAGCTCTATGGAGATCATATGTTGTCGGAATATCGCTCCTCAGCGATGGACAGGTGATGTTGAGATAAACCCATGCAGAAATCGTCGTGCAACTCTACAGCGAAAATACGAGATAATGCATCCCTGCGCGGTTCGCTACCTTGGAACGGAAAGTGTAGACGGGGAATGGAGGCCGGCAATCTTGTACCTTCCTAATGCATGTCTGCCAAGAATTAGCGACATGACACCATGTCCGCTTTTCTACACAATAAAGACTTCGCGAATCCTCGATCTCGTAAGAAAGGTAGACTTGATTCAACGTCGTAGACAGCTTTCTGCTTCGGACTGTGAACCGCAGGACAAAGATGAGGATCTCTCACCTGGCAGGCCTCCTATCTCTGGTGTCCGGCACCCTAGCCGCGACCTTCAAGTCCTGCACCGCCGCGCAAATCGTCACCCTCGAAGCGGCCATCGAGCGAGCGACAAACAAGTCATTTGCGGCGATTGAGCATCTGGAGGATAACCCCAACGGCAGCGATGTACAGACGACGTGGTACGGTACGTTTAGCACCGACCGCTATAATCGCGTGTTGACGGCTTTCAAGGTATGTTTGGCGGGGCTTTTCAGTCTTACCTTCCCCAGAGAGAGAGCGGGATGCTGGACATATGAGTTAACATTGTTGGAACAGAAATTCGCGCCTGATTTGGCCACGACATTTTCATACGATTGCTCGTGTACCAGCACCGTCGTCTACGCGACTATTGGCGGCACGTACGGCGACGTCAGGATTTGTAGTGTGTACTTCAACGAGGCGATGCTTCCGCCTGCGGGTCGGCATCGGAATCAGTGGGAGTGAGTTCATGTCCCGACCTTGAGGGCACCTGCCTCTTCTCATAATCGTGAGTGAGAGGATTTTGTCTGACTGAGATTCAATTAGTACTATCATCCATGAGGCGACGCACTTTCGAGATGTGTTGGGAACGACGGACTATGGGTATGATGTCGACTACTGCAAGCAATTCGCGCTTGAAGATCCTGAGAAGGCGGTGAAGAACGCAGAGTAAGTGAAAAAAAAAGCCCTTCCTATAAGCAGAAGCAACTAACATGTTCCAGTAATCACGCACGCTTTGCTGTTGAGGTGCCGCCTTGGGGTCCCTAAGTGAACATGTCCGAGTCACCCCCAGACCTGTCTATGTTCACTCTCACACGCGCAACAAGCACGATGCCCTCTACAGTCAATAAATCTTCTTGATACCATCACCGGCTCATGTTTAAGATAGCGTGGAATAGCGGGTCTTTACCGAATTGTTCCGCAATCACAGGCTACGAGTCTGTGTCTCGTGAACAGTCCTTGCATCGATATTCAATAGTGGCATATACATGTATGAGATCTTCGTAGGCCCCTCGTAGGAGAGGCTGAGCTTCCAGTCCTGTCGTCTTTCCCTCGGGAATGCTTTCTTTGGGATTATTGCAGACTCGTAGTAAGTACTCCTTCTGTCAATGAAGCTGCAGTGGTTGATGACGGAGCGGCTCACGCATAGCCTCAACATCGGGTAGAAACGGAAGCTTGAAGGGGACAGAAGTGAGAATGTCCACAATTTGGAATCGAAAATATAAAGTTCTGCCTTGAGGATACAAAGTCACCAGTGCATCAAACATTTAGCCACGAAGGCCGTTGAGGTTGACGATCTGACGAATCGTGTCCGCCACAAAACTCAAATTATGGTGGCTACAGTGGTGTCAACCGTCTCCATCATCGAGAACCTCTCACCTTGAAAGTCACGAACCGTCTGGCTGCCTGGAAGCGAAAAACAATATATGCCCCGAAGATCCCTGTCCCGTCGAAATGCTTCTGACAACCTTTCTCCATCACAACCATGCCCCTCTTGGGGTGCCCTGATCTGTCCTATGATGTAGAATCCATATATTCCCCATAGATGCCGACCTTTTTCTCGTAGCTAGGTAGCAAATGAGATCTCTGGAGCCGTGACGGCCCTACTCCGCTATGCACCGTTCTGTCCACTCCTTAGCAAAGTCTGAAAAGGGGAAAGCAACCTTGTGGACTCCTCAACGAATATTTCCATTTCAAAGCTTAAGCCTGCTTCTTCCTACATACGTATATAAGCCCATCTCCTGCCAGACTTTTCCTTTTTCCCTTGCTACTTCTGTCAACTTTTCACATCTGTGATTTCATCAGTTTTGTAGATCATAACCTACGACAAACTCTCAAGATGAAAAGCATCACCTTCCTGGCCGGCATCCTGCTGGTCTCCGTCGGCCCCTCCCTCATCAACGCCGATACCATCTTGGGTCCGCGTCCGACAACCACAGCCGTGGCCGAGGATTCCTCTCTCGCGAATATCCCCCCCATGGTCATCCTCGAGATTATCAAAAAGAGGAAGGGAAAGGGGAACAAAACTACGACCGCCGAGGTTAGGGAGACGACTAACCCTGCAAAACGGCCTCCCTCTTTACCTATTATCATCGAAACTCATTACGAGGTGATTAAGCCAAAGACACCCAAGACCGCTGCTCTCGAAGCATATTCTCCTCAACCCACGGCCCCGCTTCAGGCGCGTAAGCAGCGAAGCGACGAGGCGGATGAGAAGACTGGGTTCTCCTTCCTCTGCACGCACAACAAGTGCCCCAAGGAGATGGAGGTCCCCCGTACCCTTGAACCCAGACAGCAACAGGAAGCAGACGACGTCGAGCCCTCCGCTGATGACGAGGACGCCGACTCCTACAGAGACTGCCCCAAGAGGCGTTCGCGCAAGGCCAAGCTGTCGAGTATGGCGGCTACCAAGACCCTCGAGCCCAGACAGCTGGTCGTAGAGACTGCCGCCGCCGGGCCCTCTGCCGGCGAGGACGCCGATTCCTACCTCTGCACACACGAAGACTGCCCTCATAAGCTTGCGCGCCTGGTGAAGCCGTGGGCCACGAAGACCCTCGATCCCAGACAGCCGGTTGTGCCGACTAGCACTGCCGTGCCCTTTGCGGACGAAAAGGAGGGGGCGGAGGAGATGGATGATGAGTACTACGCCATGCCGCCTCCTCGTACCCGTCGCTTGCGTTGCAAGGGAAGACACAGCAGAACCGCTTCCAGCACGGCGACTCCTACTTCTTCCACCACTTCGTCGACCACCTCGTCTGCCATCTCGTCCAGCACCGGCACCGTCACCGTCACCGTGACGCCGACTGTCACTTCCAGCTCGAGCTCTCCCTCTACCACCACCAGTACCTCCTCCTCCACCTCCTCCTCCACTTCCACCACCGCACCCGATGGCGCTGTCACGCGCACCACTACCGTCACCGTGACCGCAGACCCGACCTACACCCCTACTTACCTCCTGAAGCCGTACCCGACGACCTTCCGTAAGGTCCGAGCTTAAACGCGGTTCTGCTGGAATGTCTATGATGGGTGTTTGTTTGTTTCCTGGGTGTAATGAAGCTTAGGTTAATGAAGAAAGTTATGGTGTATTCGGGGTTTGTTTGCCAGCTTTTCAGCTGGAGCAGTCTATTCGGCCTTAAGTACGCTTAGTGAGATAGGCCAGAGTGAATTCAATTATCGTTCAGTCATACCGGATGTTGTCCATACCGTGAACTTTCAATGTGATCATGTATTAGCTATTTCGATTACTGGCATTCCCCTCCTTGCTGATGCCACTAACCCTACGACCTTACGACCAAAGCTTCTGAATCAAATACTCAACCGCCTCAGCGCGGTACGCATCCGGCTGAATATGAACCAAGTCGGTAACATTGACATCGAACCCCATAATCTGAGGGTTCTCAACATCATACCGCGGCCACTTCACTCCGGTCGCCCCAGCATTCGCATTCGGATCGCCCTTGGTGATAAACCCCACCCACATCCGCGACATAATCTCCGCCAGCGCCTTGAACGTCTCGGGCTTTCCCTCAAACGGGTTCACCGCCACCGCCGTCTCGTACCCCAACCCGCCCGTGTTGTTAAACACAAACGCAACCTCCTGGAAGTGGTTCACCCCCTCAGCGGGCGTCATACCGTTGACGAGCACGTTGAAATTATACGAGTACACGCTCTGGTTCGCCTTCGGTCCAGCCCAGTTGCGCGCAAAGAACCGCCGCGGACCATGCTGCGCGCGATCGCCCGCAAACGCATTCACGCGCTTCCACATGGCGCCGAAATTCGCCTGCGCACCGCTCGGTCGGCCCTGCAGCGTGGCCGGCGTGCCGAGGCGCGGGATATCCGGGTACAGCGCCGAGAGCACCTCGATCGTGAGGTTACCCGCCCCGCCGGAGCGGAGGTAAGCTTGCCACTGCGCCGTGGTGTTGACGCCCTTTACGCCGAACTGCGTGCCCTCGTCCGAGTTGGCGCCGATTAGCAGCGGCACGCGCGTGAACTTGCCCTCGTTGACGAGCTCGTGGCGCTGGGCCTCGAGGAACTCGTCATCGACGACGCCCGTAAAGGCCGGGTTCGTGGTCGTGGTGTTGAGCACGTCGCTGAGGGTCCAGGCCGGTACGCTACGAAGGCAGGAGAGGGTATCGGCCGCCACGGAGCAGTTTGTCTTATTGACGATGGTGTTGTAGTAATTCTGCCACGTAGCCGCAGACGACGACGCCTCCACCTCGCCGAAGTCAGTCCCGAGACCGGTGCCGCTCTGCAGGATCGCGGCGCGGTAGAGCCCCTCGTCCCGCCCTCCGTAGGCCAACATCTGCGACGCAACGCTGCGGGAGCCGGCGCTCTCGCTCCACAAGGTAACGTGCGCCGGATCACCCCCGAACGCGGCAATGTTCTCCCGGACCCAGTGCAGCGCCAGGCGCTGGTCGCGGAAGCCGAGGTTGCCCGCGCCCTCGGCCTTGATCTTGTCGCTCCAGAGGAAGCCCCAGGCGTGCAGGCGGTAGTTGATACTGGCGGCGACAAAGGGGGAGCCCATGCGTACGCCTTGCTCGACGATGAAGGAGAGGTTGTAGCGCGGGTCGGCGCTGCCGCCGTTGGTGAGGCCGCCTCCGTGGATCCATACCGCGACGGGGAGCTTTGCGTCCGCGGCGACGCCGTGGGGCCGGACGACGTTGATGGTTAGGCAGTCTTCTGATACGTGGTTGCCGAGGACCCAGGTGTCGCTTCCGTAGCCGAAGCAGAGCGGGGAGTACTCCGTCGCGTTGCGGGTGCCGTCCCAGGACGAGTTTAGGGGTTGCGGGACGCGGAAGCGGAGGTTGTCGACGGGGGGCTGGGCGTACGGCATGCCGAGGAAGAAGTCCTGGTCGTGGGGCTCGTTGTAGACGCCATAGTAGGAGCCGTTCTTGAGGTCGACGGTGGGGACGGTGCCGGTGGTGGTGTTGGCCGGGACGGCCTGTCTCGGGACCAGGGCGGACACCGTGGCGCAGGCCGTAGAGAGGGTGGCGAGCAGGTTGAGTCGGGTCATGTTGAGGTCCGGGAGCTAAGCTGTGGTGGCCGACGGTATCTTGACGAGCATACGCTGCAGCTATCGTCTCGTCAGATCGACGAGAGGCAGGGTGGCTTCTGGCCATTATGTACTTGGACCATCGACTGCGGGGCCGGGAGAAGGTCGGACATTGGACCTCTGGGTCTTTCTCCATGCTGCGAGATGAAGCCCACCATGGCTCGACCCCTCGAGGGTGATGATCCCGGCGTTATGCCACGAGACCAATGCCGGCCGGGGATGGCCTCCAGGCTAGCGTAGTGGGCTACGTCACTTTGTCAAACGAAAGACGACGAACTCCGAAGTGGTCGTTCGCCGTGATACCAAAGCCATGGGTGCCAAGGCCCGGGGCCAGGACGGCCATGATGAAGAAGAAAAAAATCAGTAGCTTATTTGTCGTTGATGGATACAGCGTAACATGGCATAACAGGTCCGATCCAATGGGCTGGGTTGGCCTACCCCGCACACGCAAACGCTCCGCAAGAATCGGCCCTACCCTGGCACTTGGGGAGCAATGTGGAGGGATTTGGGGTTGGGTGGTGTGGGGGAGAATTAGAGAAGTTTTGACAAGACCCGTGAGGAGCGGTTCCGGGGTTGTTGGGTGCGGTCAATTCCCGAGGAGGTTATGGATACCAGATGAACGGGATGTGATGCTGGGAGGATGTTTGGCTTTGGTAAACATCCGAGTTCCGAGCTATCCATTTGCCCATGCCGAATATGCAGAAGTCACGTTGTGATGCTGTGTAATTCCACATTGAGGGAACACTCTGCTGGTGGCTCGATTCACTAGGCCAAAGTCCAGCAATGTCGATTCTGATGAGTGGTCTTGGCAGTGCTAGCTTGGCTCCTTGAGTCAAGTCTATCAAGACCTTGAGCCAACGAATTACTCGACTGCGGTATCTACCTAGGGTATGCATAGCCTAGGTGCCAGACCGGAGCCGCAGCATTTCTCCGCGTTTCTCCGCCTCCTCGTCGTGGAGAATCCGGCACTCAAATTTGGCCCCCGACGTCCCGACAGATTGGCTCTAGTTGGCGACCAAAAGGGACAGTTGCTGACTTGGGGTTAGTGGGCAACGTCTATGTCAACAACTGTTCTTACTGAATTGTTAGTCTTCGCTCTTCTAGAATGTAGGCTAAGGGAAATAGAAAATCGTAATGGAAGAAACCAAACCTGGTCGGCTCCTCGGGTCGGCTAGCACCCCCATCCACAAACTCCGTACTGTGCCATTGACGGTCCTTATCAACGCATTGACACCGTCCCCGATACACCGAGAAAAGCGGGACCCAAGCACTCACCGAAACAAAAACCAACGACGTCATGCCGTCCGCTCCGAGACCACGGCCCCGAAAACTCGGCACCAGCGCTGACGACAAGGGGGTCCGAATCTCGAATCCTTCCGGCCACCATCCAACGTCCTCCCACTGCGAATACAGTCACAACAGGGAATTTTCTCTTGGACGACTCGTGGTATCAAAGTTATCTGGATCCGAGACTGATCTTGACGATTGTATTACAAATCTCAAACCCCGAGTCTTGGTAAATCTCTCATCCCTCACCTCTGACCCCTCACTCACAACCACCACAGACAAAAACCTCACAATCTCACCTCATTCATCACCCACAATCCAAACGTCCACGCCTTTCCCCCCCGGAGAAGAACTCACCAAAAATGCCTCCAAAGGCCCCCAAGCCAAACGGCACCTTCACTTACTGCGTCGGCTCCAACCCGCCCTTCACCCCCGAAGAATACGCAAGCGACCCAACCCGCCGCCAACGCGCCCTCGACCACCTGGCCAAGAACGACCTCTACGCCGCCACCGTCGTCACCTTTAACCTCCCCGAGCGCGACACCTACGTCTACCACGCCATGACGGCCGTCCGCCTCGCCGAGGTCCAGCGCGTCGTCAGCATGGGCGGCGTCAACGGGTTGCATGCGTGGTATCGCGACGAGGAGGGGAAGCCGGTACGTTTGAGCGGTCTCTGTTGTCTCTTGTATTTATGTATTCTGCGCAATCCCTTCCTTTCCCTACGTTGGGATATCAACCTCCTCTTGTATCAGCTCAGTCTTCACACACACACTTATTCTTCCCCCCTTCCTCCTTTTCCCTCCATGATACCACCAGGCTCTTCCCGCCCTGAAACCCCCTTTTCACGTCACGAACAGCTCTCTCCTTTGACTCTGATTCCTCTCATGGATCCTATCATATAATACTCCAACATCATTGCCTCTCGCCTCTCTCCATCTCACGACCCCATCGCCAGTCTCTCCCACCATCTTCTCATCTCCCTCATCGTCAGCCTCCATCACCACCCCCGCCACCCTCAACCTCATCTCAGCTACAAAGACTAACAACCACCAGCTCGACCCTCCACCCCAAGCAGACATCCAGTCCTACATCCAAATCTTCTCCCCCAAAACCTCCACCCCGCAAGCCCTAAAATCCCACCTCGCAAACGCAAAAAAGTCCTCCCTCCGCTTCCTCTCCGCCTCCCACCTCCTCGCGAACCGCTACATCCATCCATCCCTCCCCAACCTCGACGCAATCCCAAAATGCAAAAACCCCCAAACCTCCCTCCCCCCAAACCCCTCCCTAGACTTCTGGTCCTGGTCCGCCCTCTCCCTCCAATACGCCGGGCCCCTCCCCTCCCAACCCCTCCAATCCCACCACGTCCTCCCCATCCTAATGCACCACTTCGGCTGCGCGACCCCCTCCCACGAAGCCCTCTCCATCCTCCGCCTGCTAGCCTTCGGCCGCGCGATAGCAGACATCGGTTCCGGGAACGGGTACTGGACCCACATGCTCCGTCTCTACAACCTCACCGTCTATCCCGTCGATAACCTGCAATCAGAATGGCGGACAAACTGGGTCTCCGATACAATCCCCTCCGACGGCGTATCATTCCTGAAATCACACGAGGGCGGGAAGGATATGGTGATGTTGTTAGTCTACCCCGTCGTAGGCGGGTCCGTGGCAGGCGGTACGGAAGGGAGTTTCACGCGCGGGCTGGTGGAGGCCTACAAGGGCGACACGATTGCCGTCGTGGGCACGCAGAATGGGAACGGGTACACGGGCTTCCGGGGGATGACGATGGCGGAGTATATGGCGAGGGAACAGCCTGAGTGGATCAAGGTTGTGCAGATTTCGCTGCCGAGTTTTGCTGGCAAGGATGAGGCGTTGTTTGTTTTTCAGAGGGGGAAGAGGGCGCCGCCGAGGGATGAGGGCGTTGCTGCCAAGGATGCGTAGATGTAGAGAAGTGTACAAAGTGGTGTTCAACAGTCAACTTGACTTTTCATACCAATGTCACTCACAGTACGCAGCAGACAGACGTAAACCGAAAGAAGTGATTCTTAACTACCAAAATTCTATGATTCCCTTCATTCCCATTGCCCTCCAAGATGAAAAACAGACCAAAAAAAAAAACGCACACTGTCCACGAGAAATTCCCCATCATCCGACCTTTGTGCCATCCGCACTTCCCAAAATGCCCGCCGGGAAACAAGCATATCCTTACCAGCAAGTACGCTCTCCGACGCCTCTCAAAATCGGAAAAATGGAAAACAAGACGAGAAAATCGAACCGGGAGAAAGGACGAAAGCGGAGAGTGAAACCCTGATGAGAACCGGGCTGGGGAAAAGGGAAAAGAAAAAATGTACCGAGAAGTGGGAAGCAGAGAGGCAATCGAAAAAGCGTCGCAGACTCCATTCCACTTCATCCACCTTTCATACTCAGAAATGATCAACAGACTGATGCCGCGCGAGAAAGAGAAAAAAGAGTAGAAAGCCTCCTCATGTCTTGTCGTAGGGGGTCCAAGGCGTCGTAGCAAAGCCCGTATACTCTTTGCTTTGTCAACGGAAATTTTTTTTGCGTGACAAAATGCTTCTTTGTCTGACCAAAACAGCATCCTCCCACCCTCCAGGTAAAAGTAAAAAGAAAATCGGTCATCCATCGTAGAGAAGAAGAAAAGTTTTGTTTTTTGTCATCGTCAAGTCGTCAACCTAGGAAATCCATCTACCCTCTTCTGAAAGCAGGGTGTTACTTTTTACGTCATTTCCTGGTCCTAGCCTCCGTCTTTTATAAACTTGTCGTAGTGTCGGGCACATTATGATACAAAATGGGCACCCTTTTTTGGTTGCGTATAGCTGTGTGCGGTGTGCAATGTGTGAGTGTGTGTGGTCGTGAGACGTCGGTATTAACAATGCGCGGAAACGAGACTGAAAAGCACTGAAAACGTATTGACGAGCGAGCATGGTGACTTTCGCTTTGATGATGCTGAATGTTGAGGTCCATGGCGAATAAAGGAATGCGGTTATGTGCGTAGTGAGAAGAAACCCACACTAGTAAACGTATAGTCGCAAGGTCGAGCGGATGAGTAAACGTCTTTTATGAGTCCAACGTCAAAATACGTTTACTCATCAGCCTCTCCCTTTCTCATTCTCTCGTTCCACTTCCGCTTGCCGACACGCGTCTCAAAATGAGGAACGAGCGTCTTGACATCCTGCATGATGGACTCAATGGCAGTACGGGTCTTGTTGCGGTAGCAGTCCACTAAAACTCATGTCAGCTCACTCATTCTCTTTTCCTACCCAACACAGCAAAACTTACGAGCTCTCTGGAGGAAGACTGTCCGTCCCGCAAAGACTCTGCTCTGCAGCCACGCCATGCGGTATCCGAGGTCGTTGAGTCGGACCTCCTTGCCTCGGACACTCTTCCTCATGCGGGGAATGGCGACCTCGCCTTCGGTGTTCTCGCCAATGGGGACCTTGACCATAGACTTGCTGTTTCCACGGCCTCGGCGGGAGCCACGGCCCTCGGTGTCCTCAACACCATCGTCCTCCTCGTCGGCATCCTCCTGGAAGAACTTGGTGCCGGTGGCAGACGGCGGCGGGCTCTGCATCTCACGCGGGAAGTACGACCGCGGGAAGACGGAAGCGCCCTTACGGAAGGAGTCGGGAATCTCCTTGGTATCGACACCGTCGAGAGTGACTCTAACACGCAGACGCGAACCGCGGACATTATCCTCAACAAGGATGAACTTGCGCTTCTTGGCCTCGGGGATGTTGGGGAACAGATCCTCGGGCTCGCCGTTGTCGCTACGGCTGTGGCGGCGAGCAGAGATGGCGCCGGCGTGGGAGCTGCTGCCCATGTGCGGCATCGAGCCGGAGCTGGGTGCCGGGTAGCCTCCATGACCGCCGTAGCTTCCGGAAAAGACCTGCGACTGTCTGACGTCGCCACCCTCCTGGCCAGCGGGGGCCTGGTGGTGGTGATGGTGTTCGTCCATGTATTCGCCATCGCCTATTTCAAGACAGTAAATGTCAGCCAACGTTACAATGAAGAAAAATTGGAAACTGGTTTCGGGAGGACGTATGCAGACGAGCGGAGTGTGGGAGGGGTAAACATGTTTGATCGACAACCCTGACAACACGAACCAACGGCAACGCGAAACGCTCAGGACGACAAAGGGAGGATCGGGATGGGTTTGTTGCTTTTTTTCTCTGGAGGTACAAGAGTGGCATAAGAGTAGGTCTTTGGGACAGGCAGGACGATTCTCTCTTTTACGAGAAAAAGCCCCCCCTCATCCGAAAGCCATGCTATTGGGACGCAGAAGGATTGGGGATGGAATGCCAAAAACGCTAAGCAATGCGACTTTTTGCCGATGTCTCTTCTAAGAGGCATCGCATCTTGTTGCCCGACAAACTCGGGTGAGGTGACTAACGACAGCAACAGCAGCAACTGCGTGCAGCGCAACTATGGTAATGTACAGATCTGTGCCGTAGAGAAAAGGAAATCCCTCTCGACCCGCGGCGAGCTTTGCTGTATCGGTGGTGGCAAGTTGCTTTGATGCGGCCGAAAAAGCCCGGCGCTATACAACAACAGGAGGAGCGCAAGAAAAATGACAAAAAAGTGCAACGAACCCATTCCCGAGACGTCTGACCAACTAGCAGAGTAATAATGTAATAAAGGCACAGAGGTAAAAAAATTTGTATGTGTTTGGTGATGAAGCTCGTGTCCGCTCTAGGATCACGGCCGACAAGACTTGGTGATGATGAAAGGGGGGAAAGGTATCACATAATCAACGATCTTTGGGGGTTGTGCCGGGCAGTGGTGTGTATGTGCGATGCAACGACAATCAACAACAAACAACGACTGGGCTTGCAAACGCTGCAGATGCGGAGGGCTTCTTAATCACATCTGGTGAAACATACCGACTTCATCCCCTCCACCCGGAGCGTTGGTGTGCGGCATATGACCCATGTTCATTCCAGGCATCTTGGCTGATGCACCCGCGGGGCCCATGCCACCCGCACCTTGAGCCATCCCTGGCGGACTGGGGCCGCCCATGTGAGCAGGGTGAGGGCCGCCCTGAACCGATTTCCGGGTGTTCATCTTGGCCATGCGGCGCACTCTTCGGCTTCGGAGCCGGGGGTCTTGGTTGCTGTTGCGCCAGCTGTCCACGGCGCGCTGGATAAGACCTCTCTTGCCGCGCAGAGGAGGGTTCAGCTGAGCAAGAGCCCACCCGACCGTGTTGCACTCAGTCTCGTATACTTGGCGGTTGCCTCGGTATTGGTCCTTGGGGCAGCAGGCCCTGGGGTAGACACAGTTCTCCGTCTTGAACTCGGCTGAGAGCTCGTCCGTGTTGACCGACTCAACATCGCAGCGGATGGTGTACTCCATCTTGACGCGGTCGCGAGAGTACTCAAACGCGATCCATTGAACCCCGTTCTGATCTTGTCTGACAACCAAAGGTGTGGTGGCCGGGATGGGACCGGGCGCCGCGTTAGGGTTGACACCGCCAGGAGTCGATCCTGTAGGGGTGTTGAGAGCAGCGCCGTTCTGGGGGTGCTGCTGGTGTTGCATAGGAGTTGTCTGGGGCTTCTGGAGCTGCAAAGGCACCTGGGGCTCCGTCTTCATCTGGCCGCGCGGGCTGTTGGTCATCTGAGCCTGGTGTTGTTGCGCCTGGTGCTGGGGCATGTGTTGCTGCTGCTGCTGGGACTGCGCAGACATCATCATGTTGGGCTGCGAAGACATGGACTGATGCGTCTGGGCCTGGTGTTGCGCGTAGGGAGACTGTTGGGGTTGCGCCTGCATCGACGGGTAGTGGGCTTGCGGCGTCTGGTAATACATGTGCTGCTGGAGAGGTTGAGACGGCGGCTGGCCGTAGATGCTTCTGTGCTGGTCATGTTGGGAAGGCGAGGCTACCGACGCGGGCGAGTTCGACTGCGGTGTGTGGTAGGACATGGGAGGGTAAGGTGGTCTCGGCATTTGAGCGGCGGCCATCATGTCGGATTGGTCTGCTATCCAGTGGTTAACGGTTGTGAACTTTGAAGTTGTCGAGAGGAAGCTGCCGCGAGAGAGAGAAGGCAGCAGAAGACGCGTCTTTTTCTCAGTGTTTGGCGTGTCTTTTGCGCGCGTCTCTCTTTTTGCAGGCGCTGAGCGAGGTAAGGATACCAAAGGAAAGAAGGAAAACTCACCAGCGGATGTGTATCCGCTTGTCGCGCCTGGGGTACTGTAGGGACTCGGATGAGCGTAGTAGGGAAGGCCGTCCTGGGAGTGCTGCTGGGCGTTGGAGGGCTGGCTCTGCTGCTGCTGGTAGGCGGGAGCAATTGGGTGTCCGGCGGAGGCGTAGGAGGGATGCTGCTGTGACTGGGCCTGGGGATGATGCTGTTGATGAACAACGCTCGAGGGTCGAGGATGTTGCTGGTGCTGCTGCAGATGTTGCTGCTGCTGCTGTGTAGGTGCGTGACCCTGGGGCTGATGGTGGGGGTGATGCTGCATAGAGAAAAGACCCATTAGTCCCTCGTCCAAGAAACGCTTCGACGTATTAAGTTGACTGGTGACAAGCAAGAAGGAGGAAAAAACAAAGTGAGGCAAGGCAAGGCGCGGCGCGTCTGTATTTTTATTTTTTGCACCTTGACACTGTCAGGGGACTGGGGGCATCCAGGTGCGGGTGGTGAGAAGTGGTTCCTTGCTGCCCCTGGGAGTCCTGGGAGTCGGCGAGGATCACGCGGGTGAGGCGTGCTAGACCCAGTTCGGGACCCCTTTCTGATAAAAGAAAATGTGGATATTCTTTTGGGGAAAAGAAGAGGAGCAAGGCAAGGTAGGCAAGCAGAAGGATGGATGGATGGATGGGCTCCAGACCAGATGCAAGGTCGCCGTACTACGGCGCCGCCAGATCGGAGAAGCGAGGGCAGGGGATAGACACACACCACTCACTCACTCACACACACCACAGAGGAGTGAGAGTGAAAGCGAGAGTGAGCTCCCATCTACCTGCAAGTGTATGTGTGTACAAGCTGGGTAAGGATGATTTGGGAACAAGATGGGAGGGGCGGATTTTTTTGGTTTACCCCTGAATAACTACCCAAGCAAAGTAGCGAGCTTCGGGTAAAGAAAAGAGAATGGGCAGGTACTGTGACGAGGATACTCGGAAGCGGAACCCGAGTGGTTTCGAGAATGCGATGGCCTGGCTCTGGCAGATTTGCGCGACTGGGGCAAAAGAGACGAAAGATGAAGGATGGAGTATGAGTGAGGTAAGGTAGACGGATAAGCGGTATGGATAGGTAAAGAAGAGTACGGAGTAGTGGTGTAGAGTGTAGATGAAGTACTCGAAAGAGTAACAAGAGGGTTCTTCTCCTTCGACCTGGACTGCGGTCCTGGTTCCTATTGCGGGTTCTTCCTCTGGTTTGGAGACGCGACAGGATGGCCAGAAGGCAGAAAGAGACGACGGATGGTGCAATGAGATGACAAGGGAGTATGAAGGACGGAGAGATGGCGATCGGAGCGAGGGTGCAGCAGGATTATGGGCAGCCGAGGGAATTGGGCGAGTGAGGGTACAAGAGAGGAACAGGGTAGCTATTTGAACATTGGAGCAGGGTAGGATCCAAAGTGGGTAATTATGATGGGGAGTGATATGTCTGGGAATCGGGGAGGATGGGATGGGCAGCAAAGGAAGGAGGCAGGGGACGAGACAGGAGGCGTCCGTCTTGGGTACGAGAGCTGTTTTCTCTTACTCACTCGCGAAGAGTGAGAGAATCCTCTTCACTCTGCGGTCTCACAGCTCACACTTGCTGCTCTCGCTCTCACGTGTGAGGCCGCAGCAGAGATATGAAGACAAGCGAGAAGAGAGGATCCAGGACCAGACAGACACACACGACCAGCCAGCCAGCCCACAGCAGCCTAACCGGGGGTGAAAGCAAGAATGGGAACGCAATAGCCAGAGCCAGACCAAAAGCAGATACAGGAAACCAGAGTGTCAGGGGGGCGCAGACGCGGTGGAGCTTGATACCGCACCGGTGCGGCTTCTTGTTCGGGGTAGAGAGAAAGTGCAATGTAAGGTAATACAAGGGGGGGCGATATAATGGCAGGGTACCTTGACACCTTGGGCCCGATGCGAGGCTACGGCACGGCGAAGGTCGAGATATCAACGGAGATGGCGATGTCGACGGCAATGCCCTTGCAAGCGCGCTACCAACGCCGTGGGGCAAATTGGAGGCGAGACGATGAGGGCATATGCGCTTTTACACACACCTCTAGCCAGGCCCAGGGTCGGAAGGATATACCCGTGTATATCTCGACGTCAAAGAAGAGATGTAGTGTATGTGATATGAAGTGCGGTTGAAGGAAAGGGAGAACAAGAGCATACTCAACGCATGATATGCGCCAGCCAAGCAATGACGCGCGAAAGTGTGAGAGGTAAGATGAAGATGCAGCAGGCAGAATACAATAAAACAAGAAGGCAGGCAATAGCAGCAGCAATAGACAGCAAATGCAAAACAGAGCAATGAAAAAACTGTCAGGGTTTTGAACGTACGTGCGCGCGTGTGAATTCGCCTTCCCGTCTTTCCTACTCGGTAACTTGTGCAGGAAAGGATAAGAGGCAAAGTCGTTTACTAGTAACGGCGGCGGCGGCGTCGTCGTCGGCGGGAGGTAGGCAGGTAGGTAGAGAGAAAGAAGAGAGAGACAGAAGTGCACCAATGAGTGAAATCTTGTCGGTTTGGGCGTACGCAAGCAGTAGTCCCATACAAGAGAGAGAGCTTCTCGATGCTTTTCTTGCTGCAACTTGCAGAGAGGTCCCAGAGCAGGAACAAGAGCTGCGCGTGGGAGGAGGACGAACAGGGGATAATAACGACCGGGGAGGGCGTGGGTGTTGGGAAGAGAAGGTGGATTGGCAGTGGTGGTGGTGGGCATGGACGAGGGCGAGGAAGATGAGGAAAGGACGCAGAAGACGTGAAGATGGGACAAGAGGGGCTGGTGTCGTGAAAAAAAAAAAAAAAAAAAAAAAGAAGAAAAGGCAAGGTAGGGGCGTGAGAGTAGTATGGTGAGCCTTACTTTGCGACTTCTTCCTCTCTCTGTCTCCAAGTTCCAACGTGCGTGGGAAAGAGTCGGCAGAGAGGAGAGAGAGTCAGAGACAAGGTGAAGGCGAGGTGTACACTCTGGGTAGTGTTGGAGAGGAAAGAAAGGAGGGGCGTGTACGCAGTGCGGCAGACGGGATTTGCTCTGGGGGTGTGATTATTGATGTGTGTGGTACTGGGAAAAGAATAAGAAGGGAAAAAAAAGAAAAGAGGAAAAAGATAAAGTGGGGTGCGAGTGGGGTGAGATGAGGCCGAAGGGGGTGTGCATCCTGCAAAGGGTGTGTGGGACAACGCATGGGAGAAACGTGACAGGGGTCTCTTGCATTGTAGATTGAATGGCCAATGGCGGCACGCGCTTGCAGGGCCGGGCAGGGTCAACTACCCAATCAGGCATCTCTCATCCGGGGCTAGCCAGCAGACCAGCATACTACCGGGATGCCGCCGCAGGTCCTCAATCTTGCTCTCTCAAGTCTCTCTCTCTCTCTTTCTCTCTCGCGTGTGTACCGCAGTACTTTCTCTCTCTTGTGTGATAAATTTTCACTCATCTCTCATCTCTTTCTCAAAGGTCGATAGTCTCTCGTCCACTTGGGAGACAGACCGCAACTATGGAAAAAATACGACTTCAGAAGCATGGCGTCTGCAACTTTGCCGCTTGGCCCCCTTGTCGTACCTTTTTTCAGCCACCGACCCCCAAAAAGAGGCTTCCCACTTTCAATTCCCGGGTTCCCTCCTCACCCTGTTCCCCACCCCTGGCCCTGGCACATCTTGCACTTGTTTGGCGCAAGGCGGTGTGGGAACCCATGAGGCGGAGACAGTCTGTGTCTGTAAGAGAGAGAGACGAGGGAAAATGTGCCTGAGGAGACCCGGCTTGTGTGGGAGCCCAGTCTGGAAACATCCTGGCTTCTTCCTCTTGGGACCTGGCACAGCACTCACTCCCGCGCTGTCGTTGCCATGTCCCCCCCGCGTTTGCTGCTTGACCGTTCCTGGCCTCCTGGTCCGGCTTCTCATGCCTGCTGCTGCTAATGCGCTGCTGGCATCTAGAAGAAGATGGGTACATCTGACAGACAGACTATGGAGTGAGGTGGTAGGCATATGGGCATGGCACTCGCACTGGCACTTGAGACCTTGCCGCTGGCCCATGTATCACCCACGTCCCAGGCACAACCAGGAACCCGGAGCTCTGCTTGCCCAGCACTGCGGGAACGCCGTACTCGGTACTCGCTCCAACAGGCGCCTGACATTCGTGCTCCGAGGTCGTTGATACATTTCATCCCCCAGAACCAGCTTAGAGAAAGAGATTGGGGGACGCGTTCTGGTTGTCTTCACCCTCGTCGTTCAACGTTGGTTTGGACTCTCCACAACTAGCGGCAGCCAAGTCACCCTCGCCGCCCTTGCCTCCAGGTGGGAACAATGGCAAACGATTTGTACTGTGGTCTGCAGGCCTTCCTTCTCCCCATCTTCTCCTCGTTGCCGGCGCGCGGGTCGAAACATGAACAACAGGCGCAGACGACAGACGACAGACGTTGCCTCTCTTGCCAATCATCCACCCGATTCCCGATTGCCGCCCCCTATCAATGCGCAATCGATGGGGAGAGTGAACTCAGAGCTCGCGCAGATGTTCCCTCCAACAGCAGCCGATTCCGAATCATTCTGGCAAACGAACAGAGTGATGAATGCATCGGCTAGGTCAGCACGACCCCCCCCCCCCATCCCACCCCTCCCAATTGCTCAGCCACCCGTCATTGGGAAAGCTGCTGGCAGCCCCCACCAAGAACGTGTGCCGCAGAGCAAAGAGAGAGAGGGAGGGAGAGGATGAGTGCACCCCACCCGACGCCTCCAGATCTCCACAATCGTCACCTCATCTTCATCTTGCTTTTGCCAGGGAAAGGCCCGTCAGAGGTGTACACCACTACGGATACCTCGACTCGAGTGTTTGCCGTACTTCCACAGATAGAGCTCATCACCTAGAATGAGCTCTTCCTTCGGCCGGTTTCTTTCGGCTAGCTTGTGGATTCTCTCTTTTCTTTTTCTCCTCGCTCTGACGTGTACATTATGACCAGAAGTAGCTCGTGACACTCCCGTCTTCTAAGTCCACGTGAGTGGTAGGTAGTCGGGAAAACGGGCCCGAGGAAGAGAACGGTAACGAGGGGGAGGCGTACACAGTATACGCTTTCTCTCGCGCGCGTACCATAGCGTAGCTCAACCTCACTAAGGCTTAAAAAGCTGAAAGGTCGGTACCCGTTGTGCTCGAGACAACACTAGGCATCTAGGCAGGCCCGGGAAGCCGTTGGCCGCCGTTTTGCCCTGCGTGGTGTCCCTCATTTCCAACGAACCAGCCACCTTTTGGCTTGGTGCCTGCGCCATCGAATCTCGCCTTGTCACCACCTCCATCCAGCGCGGGAGGGAAGATGACGAACGATGTGAAGAACATGTTGATACGGACAGAAAACGTAAATGCAAAAGCCAGCAACAAGAGGAATGTCGCGATTGCTGTGGCTCGCAAGGGGTGCCCGCCAAAAGGCAACAGCCTGCACGTCCGCGTGAGACCCCGGTCAACGGCGAGCGAAGACTCGACCGTAGACGGCAGAACCACGAACGTGTCTCTGGGAGCTTTCCCAAGGTCTCCAATGTTCAACCAGCCTCCCGGAGCTTGAACCAGGTTGGGTAGCACTCACCCTGCCCTGCCCTGCCCAACCCCGGCTGGCTTGGTCTGGCTGCCCACGCCTGTCCCCTCACCCTCTCTCCAACTTTCCTCTCCCCCAACTTCAACGAGCAAAAATAAAAAACCAAGATAAATTAAAATCAAAGTGGTGTAAAAGGGAATAGCGTCGTAGTACACTGGTCGGGAGGTCCCACTCATGCGAATGGAGCCTGCGACGGCCCCGGTCATTGGTGAAACAGGAGCCACCCTGCCAATCTCACAGACTTTTTGGAGTCCTGACCTGGTCAAGCTTGCGACAGCGTTGCCATCTTCTGGAAGCCACGGGAATCCCAGGAAACTCATCTTGTCGACGCCAACCATGCGCGTAGCTCAAACCCTATCCATGTTTGACCTCTTCTGCAACTCCCGCTTGAGAGCTTCAGTCAAGGTCCGTGGTGACCGCCTGTCACGACTCGCCGTCCAAGCATGCAGCCGAGTGACGAGTCTTCCGGCAGCTAGGGGCCAGCAAGCGTTCAAGCTGAGGCAGACACCCTTATGCGCGAACAGCGAACTTGAGTAATTGAAATGGGGACGAGGGGAAAACGCACAGGAAACCGACTTCTTTCAATACCATAACAACCAAAGGAAAGGGTATGTAGAGTAATGGAAATATGGCTAGACTTACGTGATCAGGCTCCTGCTTGTAGCCACCCGAGGGCTGCCTGTTCTGCGCCATGGCTCTGACAGTCATGAGTTGATATTGATGTTTCTGTGCGTCTTTGTTAGCATCTGTCATCTGTAGCTAGTGAACCTTGAACCAGGCTCTTCCAGGCCTCCCTGGAATCAGAACAGACTCCAATTCATCCCAACGGGGATGTTCGATGTCCCTTACCAGCCAGGCTGGCATGATATGAGATCGCCGAGAGATGGCCCTTCCTGATGCCCAACCTTCGCTGAATTCCCCGCACCTCTTGGTGCAAGGTTTTTCCATCAAGTCATCACGGCTGATGGACGCGTGGGCAAGGAAACAGGAATATCCGTGGGAAGAAAGAGAGGTTGGCCACCGCTTTGCTGGCAAGAAAACGACTGGGAGATGCCTGTTGTCCGCGTACGTACTCACGTTTTTTTTTTTTTGTGCTCAGGTAGACTGATCCAAATGTCGCGATCGCTGCGTTACGTGAACTTCAGTTCGTTGTTGGTGCGGGCGTCAGTTGAGCAAAGATTGAACCCGTGATCTTGGGCAGGTGTGTCCGAGGTTGGCGACGTTGTGAAACAAAGATATCCCAGCTTGCTGCAAATCGACTCAAGTCAGCATCTTAAGTGTTTTGTTTTCCCAACTTTGATCGGAGCAAATTCATGCGACCGCGTCAAGAACACGCGACCGGGTCCCGAGAGAGCCCCAATAAAATGGTGACCCTCAACCCCCCTCCCCTGACGGCAATCACACAAGGAGAGAGGCCCCAGGGGGATGCGATGAGTCGTGCAGACCATGTTCATGCGCAGACTGCAACATGGGACGTTACCGAAATTGAAACAAAGACGCGCTTGGGCGTAGTGTAAGCCCCATGCGGACAGGCGCCGAACAGCAACGCCTTCAGATGATGCATCTCGAAATGCAATTTCGGAGCCCATCGGAAATACGACTATTTGTAAAGGCTGGACAAGATTCGACACGCGGCGGGGAGCTTGGGAAGCAAAGCAAAGTCGGAGATTAAAGACGAAAAATCACGAACCTTTGGGATGGATATCAGGACGTGTTGGAAACGCGTTGACGGGTTGCGGTCTTTGATGACCCGTACGAGCAATGACTGGGAGTGTCTGCGCCTGTATTTGGATGATAAGGCTGGCTGGGAGAGGGCTAGAAGTGGATTCTGGTGGTTCTGCAGCGTCTGCTTAGTGTGTGTGTGTGTGTGTGTGTGTGTGTGTATGTGTGCGAGTATAAGTGTGCATATGTGAGTGTCTGTGTGTGTAGTGTACACTTGTGCAGGGGAGGGCAACCCAGTGATGCACGGAATTTGAGGCTGGCGCAGCTTGGGTGTCCTGACCTGGAACGAATGCGGGAGAAGAAGGCTCTAACAGCGGGGTTCCGAGGAAGAAGTCGATGGTTCTTCTAGTCCTTCTGACGGTAGGTAGCGTATCCGTAGGGGGCTTGATTAGTGTATCTGCTTCCTTGCTCGAATGGAGCTATGCCTCAACGCTGGCTCGGTCTGTTTGGGTGGTGTGTGACGGGTTCCCAATTCTCCGGGGATGGACCAGGGAGCTGGTCGAACGTTGTTCGCCGGGGCCGTGCGGACGAAATCTGGGATGTGTCTGCAGGCCTTGCTGTGTCCCGCTACTGGGGGACCTGACTTGTGCGTCGTTGTTCTATCTGTATTCTGAATTAGTTCATGCAGGCCAGCCTTGCAAAGGCCACAGGTGCTGGCAATGGCGTCCTTTCCCTCTCGCAAGGGGAACCAAAATGTACATCTGTCAAGCAACTGGGGAACCTACTTGGAGGGTGCTTCTGGGCTGGTCAAGGGGTTCTCGTGCTGAGGAGTGGCTCAAGCTGCTTTATGACGCAACGCAGACCCCGAAGGAATAGCGTAGGGTTGCTAAGACGCTTGTGATTGTCAGGCACTGCGAGAAACGAACGGCTTAATGGGTGTGACTGGGAGGCGTGTGGAAGAACGGGTAAAGCAAGGGAAAGCAGAGTCAAGAAGCAGACGGCGTCATGGAGAGAATGCCGGATATTTAGGCAGAGCCAGGGAGACTCGAGTGATTGGCAACGGGTCCTCAGAGGAAGAAGAAAAAAGAGCAAAAAATAGGACCAGCGATAACGCCAATTCCTAAGTAGGTCGACGTCCCTTCAGTTGGCCACTCGGCACATTGATTAAGGAGAAGCTGGGGTGTGATGGGCTGCGTCCAGAGGACAACCATTGGATGATGCCGCGGCCCTCCAAGAGAAATGTGGACGAAAGAATCCCGGCTAAATGAATCGGGTGGGCAGGTGTAAGGGGAGCCAGCGAGAAGAGAGGTGTGGACGGAACCGGTCCCCCGGTGGGAGGGTACGGAATACCTAGGGAGACAGGCCAACGGAGCGAATGCTGAAGAATATCGACGAGATGTGCAGAGCCTAGACCGAAGTTCATCCTCACCGCTCCAACAACGGAAGATACACCCTGATGAACACCCACAGTATTGATGCGGGTGGAAAGAGTAAGGAGGTCCATCGATATCTACATACTGCGTAGGATCCGAGATGCTTGTCAGCCAGCCAAGAAGAGCCAGGGTGAGAGTTGACAGGCGCCCCGTGGAGAGGCGGTGGCTCACTTACCATGAGAATAAGCTTCTTCGGCATCCATAGCTGAAGTGGCAATGCCAGTATTAGTTTGCGACTTTGCTAAGGTAGCCTAAGGTAGCTTCAACGTCGAAGCCGTCTGAGGGAACGGCTGCGCTTCTGAGCCAGATCTAGAAGCCTGAAATCCCCTGCAGATTACGAGGAATGGGACGGTATGACCAAGGTAAGCAAGTGCTACCTCAAGGTAGCTTGGTGGACCGTTGCCTGTCAAAAAACACCGGTCACGGTTAGCATTGAACAACCCTTGCCCACACACGAAAATGCCTAGCCGACCCGAGCGTCTCACCCTGGGTCTTGGGGGTTGGGGGTTGAGCGGGAGGCAAGGGGGTCGGAAACGGTGCCAACCTCAAAGAACCACGAGGTTGCTCGGACTCCTCGTGCTGTTGCTTGATGTGCCACCTTGGAGTGTGCGCAGTCGACATTGCTGAATCGCGACACGACGACAATTCTATAGAACGCACGGGTTGGGTCTTAGTCACGGCGGCTCCGAGAGACAATATCCTTAAGCCGCTTCGGTTCTGGTCGAGCTCGAACGTGAGTAGCTCTCAGAGACCAATAGAGCGACTGGCTTGAGATGCTCCTTCAGTAACTGCCCAGAATGCTTGGGGTCACAGGGTCGAGTTCGATTATGCATCAAGTACGATGCTAGAAAGGCGCCGCTTTTTCCACTGTTGATTGGATGCAATACGCGCTGTATGCAATATTCTGCATCCATCTGCCGCGTTTGTGGCAATGTCTTGTCTGATCTTGTTGCTATATCTGAGAGACGGCCCGGACTCTTGGGTTCTCAGGTCGCAGTCACACTGCGCAGGAACAGAGGTGTGTGGTTGTGTGCGCAGTCTCTCCCCCCCCCCTCTCTCCCCCCTTCCCTGGGGTCTATTCGCCACGACACTAGACAGCTGGGGACCTCCCTGGTTGCAGGTCGCGCAAACGTTGGACAGTTGGCGTTCGAGAATGTGACCGACAGGTTGGATGGGATGAAGTGCTGTAGAAACTTGGGCAGGCGACACAAAGTACGCAGGGATAATCGTGGGAGCCTTGGGTTTGATCTCTTGCCTGTTGCACGATTGTCATAATCAACATCATATTGACCTTCCCAAAAATAAATCGCGAGAGGTGGACGGGTGTAACGGGGATGCCCGCTGAATATGGACAACTCCAGGAGGAGTGCAATACCTAGTGCTGGAGAAAAAGACGCAAGCTGAAGGGGGGGATCGTCGCTCCATGTTGGATCAATCGCGAAGTAGCAGAGGGGTGACATCGGTCAAGAGAGGCGCGGTTTTGGCGTGCGCTCCTCCAGTCCGCTTTCTCGTTGACATGCCACATTTCGCTAGGGCCCGCCCACATCGATCTGCCAGCACATATTGCGCAACATCAACGGCGGGCGGTTAGCGAAGCAGACGGACCGTCTCGAGAAAATTGCGTGGGTGGCGTGAGTTGGCTCATGACAAGCATCAGGGTAGACGAGTTCTAGAGAACGAGACTACTTAGATAGGTAAAGGGGCCATGGCAGAATCTGAAGTGTGGGAGGGGACGCCATGGCGCCGTCTGGAGCTGTAACTTGGGTGAGAAACAGCACGACTCACATTGGGGAATGGTGTGTGGAGAAATCGAGTCGAGGTCACCTGAAGACCTGGCCTGGAGACGAACAAGCTATGTTTCAGTAGAAGAAGTGGCTCGTCGGGTCGTCCTTCTTTCCGTTTCGTCTCGACTCGTCTAGAAGGAGAGGAAGAAGACGAAGAGGGCAGGCCAAGTCGATCCAAGGATATGTCTTGTTTGTTCTTGTGCGTTACACTGGTATAGGAAGACAGATATGCGACGAGACTATGACGGCTTCGAACTGTCGGCCGGGGCGAACAAAGTTTAGACGGCGACTTATTGATGCTGCCATAGTGTTTGAGGATAGCCTCGCCTAGAAGATGAAGAGACCGGATTCTCGCGATGCCGCCAAGGTGGTTAAGGCAACGTCGCAAGAGAACGGCTACAGCTGCCGAGTGTTGACATGCGGGAGCAATAAGCTACTGGTGTCAGCGATGGCGATGATGGTGATGATGATGATGACGGTGGTGTCTGAAATTCGAGATTGACGTTGAAGTTGAAGTGACGTTGGTCAGACTAACTATTGTAAGGTTGTCGTGCAGGGAATGGGACGGGGGTCAGCGGGAAGACAGGGCAGGGAAGCAGAGGCGCGATGGCAAAGGCAGGCAACGGGAGGCAAGGCAGGACGATGCATCTCACGAGCCAGGAGCCAGGAGGTGGCAGCTACCCCTTCCATACCAGGTAGGAAGTAGGTAGGAAGGAAGTAGGGGATGCTCTCCATAGGGCAACACCAGGCAACCTGGAAGGGAAAGAAGCGTGAGGTGGGAAGGTAGGTAGGTACCTGCCTGACCTCACCATCCTATGTGTACGGTGTACGGAGTACGGAGTACTGGGCTGCGAGCTGCGGGCACACAGGATCGTGGGTGGTTGCTCACCTCAGGGCTGCCAGGATTGGGAAGTCACGATGGAACTGGACCATGCCCCAAGCACGTGGAGATGCTGTTGCCAAGCGGGGGTTTGTGAACAAGGACGCACAAGGTTGCCAGAGCTAAGGCTGCCAGGGTTATCTTCAACCTCATGTCGTTCAACTTCATGTCATTGAATCACACGAGAACATGGCCGAGGCATCTACTATACTTCAGCCATGTCTCATTCGCACTTGGTCGTATCTCAACGTTGCCATGGAGCATCACATCGGCCCAGCCCAGTAACACACTCGAGGACCGACTGGATCATAATTTCTGCCAGTAATCGCCTGTAACGACATTGTGTTGGTCAGTTGTGGCCTACCAATTCCCATAGAGCGGCCATGTCTTCCGCTCCATGACGCAAAGTACTCGGCTCTGGTAAAGGCACAGCCATGTTTGCGCCTGCACATCCAATCCCATTCTCGACAGATTCGAGGCACGATGACGATTCTCCCATGTTCTGAGGGTGCAGCGCAAATGAATTTGTCAATGTTATGGTGCATCTTACAGTCACTTCTGTTTGCTCCATGCGCCCCTAGCCAAAGTGGCTGGTGTGGCGGTAACACGACCATCACAACTGGGCATGTATCTCTCTTCCCGACGTGTCGCCAACAAAAGTCGCCGAGACCGAGTGAGAGCCTTGCCCGAAGACATGATCGAAATGTGTGAGAGCGCACAGTTTCCCGAAGCACATTTGATCGCTGCGAATACGATCTAATATCTTGCCTTTGAGCAGATATTCTGACCTGCCCATACCCATATCTGAGCCACCCTGCTGGTTCTCCATGTCTTCAGGCTTGCAACGGTCGACGGTCCTCGGCGGTGCGATGCAATGCGGGAGGCAAGGATAACGACACCGTCGAGTTGGTTCCTGGGCCATGGTGGAATGGGATGGAGCACACCACAGGGGGGTTATCAAGAGTGTGCGGGAGCACCTGCGACCTGGGGAGACGACGGGCCAGGAGCCAGACTTGGGACAAGGGCCAAGGGGCAGTGGTGCAGACCGCACACGCAGAGGAGAATGGCAAGGGAATGCCAAAGAGTGTCGTGATCCCTGCGGTTCCCTGTCGCAGCCTGGGTATGAAGTACCTTGCTCTTGGGATGCTGATCTTGAGAATGGCTGCAGCCCGTGTTTTCCAGACACAGTGGCACTTGGGCTCCCCAGAGTCCATCACCAGTGGCCCAGCTTTCTTGCCCTGGCAGGCGCGCCAGTCGGGAACTCAGGCTGGCAAGCCAGGGCGGGGGCTTGCAGATGTTGATGGCGTTGGCCAGGTCTGAACGGTACCATCCCACCATCCATCCCATGCTCGTTGGCCTGATTCTTAGGGTGTCAGGGAACCCGGCGCCAGCTCTCCCGCGGCCCTGGAGCAGAGACCCCAGCCGTACTGCGTAGTTAGGATAGCTTCAGCTCTACGTACCTCGGGCTTGAATCCTAGCCAACCGGCCCGTCATGCTGTGCCGTGTCCAGGCAAGTACTAACACCAAAAAGCAGATTAGGTTATTGTCGGTCTTCGCATAGAGCTGCAGGCTATTCGAAGCGAGAGTGATGTCTCTCGGGAGAAAATCTGTTGGTAAATAGTGTAAATATCCCGTGCATAGTCTGGCTATCAGTATCCGTACTGCGTAAAATCGAGTCCATGGGTCTGGGAGGGGTGGACGGGACGCGCCAAATGCCCCTTCAGACCGTTTGGTGTTCTGGCCCACTTGGTGGTTCAAACTTCAAAGTCCTCAAGTACTCCGTACTGCGGTATCTGGGCGTGCCAGGTACGGCAACGGATACAGGGACTGGGTTTGTGTGCAGGCCCAACGGTTCGTGAGCCGGTTCGAAAACTGACAGGAGATAGCGGGGCCAGCTAACATAGCGTCCTGCAACTTGGGAACGCAGCCCAAGATAATTACTTTTCGAACCTTGGCTTGCTTAGGTGCTTGGGTAGCAAACAACTCATCTTTTTACTGCTAATCAATAGCTCGAGTCCTGACTGATTGCAATATAGATGGCCCACTCGAGGACCAGAGCATGTTCTACAGCGAGGGACTAGCGTCGCAATGGCGACGGAATTCGCCGCGCCGCGCGACTGGCTGCTCGTGTCATCTGTAGGACTTCTTGAAAACTCGGTCGCCTAAGCAAGTCTACTAGAGGACGTTTAACGACTACGAGATGCTGATAGAATAAGTTTCTGCTAATAAAGGTAGTCCAGCAAGTACGAAAAATCCGATTTAAGCTTCACACAATCAAAGGGCATCTCAGCACGCCCCGTGGCATATTGGCACTTACCTAACTAGTGTTGGATGAAGGAAACTTGCTGCAAAGTCCTGAAGGCGGTGACGCTCGACCAATAAGCGTTGAGACGAAGCCTTCTACCAACACGCGGCGGAAACCCAATAAGCGATCGGCCACGGCAGTATATGAATACGGGAATGGGCGGCACCAGTAACAGGCTGAGAAGTTTGGGGGCGGACTTCGAAATGTCCGTCATAAACCATCGGGCCAGGAAGACGCACAGTCTCTGTCAGTGTTGCCAAACGTTTCCGCTTCGACGTTAGTGGAATTTGGTAGCCCAGTGTTGGACCACTCATTCATATCGGCCACGCTCTCAATCAGGGCATAGCTAGCTTCGAGAAGCTGTGGGCGAGTCGTTGGGTGCGGGAAACGTTGCACTTTGGGTAAAGGTTCTTTCGTCACCCACGCATACGGGGGTGCATCGACCTGATTTCCTTCCTTCTCGGTCATGGCGAAGTCAGTCTGGCTTCAGACGGTTCGACGCCAGGCCAACGTTTAGATTGGACATACGTAATGTCGCCTGCGGCCTGGTAGTTGGATCAGTCGCTGATGCTGATGGGGGCTTGTGACCGATGTATTGATGTGCCAGAAACTCTGTTGCGGCGGCGGCGGTGTATGGGGTACACAGGAAAGCCGGAGATCGACATTGTTCCAGCCACATTGGCCCCTTCCTCCAGCGCGTAACCGTCACCCCCTCGGTATCGGGGTTTTCTCTCTGTCTCGCACTAAGGGGTTGAAAAACGAGATGCCTCATGCATGTGCCGTAGACTGTAGGCGAAGGTCTCCTGAAGAAACAGGGCTTTCTGGAAGTGGCTGGTGAATGGACGTCGACACTCCACGAGGCGACAGGATGTAGTGCCGGCAACAAAGACATATCTTCCCAACTTGGAATAGACCGTGTTGAATTGCGTCGGGTCAGTCGCGATTGGTTTGGCTGGTTGTGCAAATTCCTCCATTCCCCTCCTGTGCCACCCACCAGCGTTAAGGAACGTAGCTTCTCGTAACTGGTCTGCCTGCTTTTGGTGGTTGCATCTGCATCAAGATTTGGTCAGTCAGTTCAGTGCACCTATTTTTGCTCTTTGAAAGCTGGGATTTGAACTATCCTGTCCAGCCCAAATTTTGGCGTCCCATTGTACCTCGCCAGCAGGGGCTATTTATAATCTCCCGTATTGCGGTCTCTTCGGCACGGCGTCTGGTACAACGCGAAAGGATGCCGAGGACAAATCTCGTTCCTTGACATCAAAAATAGTGCAAGACTTTAGTTGGACGCTCTTCGTATCCCATAAACTTGTAGCAGATGGAACAAGAGTCTGATGGCAGTGAATTGGAAGTTCGGACGGATGCCGCGCCGCGGAAGTCTCCCGGGTATTCCAAAATGGACATCTGAATCCTGACGGGGTCCGTAGAGGGGAGCGAAAGCGAAAGGGACGGACGTCACCTCTAAAGTCGATGGCGGAAGCCCAACGTCAAACACCATCGGAGCTGGGTCCTCGCCAGGCTCGATGCGCCATTGGTGGTTTATTGCAACCGAGCTCAATCTTGTGGCTCTGGCCAACCGTCAGCTTTCTTTTTCCCAGCAGTGCCTACAGCCACCATATGCAGGGCTGTTTTGGTTTCTGAATACCAGAAGCGACGTTGTCGACTCGTCCCAACCTCCATCTGGCTTCGTCGAACATAATGTGATGTGACGATCGAAGTTTAGCGAAAAGGACGAACTGTTGAAACCAGATGCAGCAGGCAAGATACAGACGATGTGCGGGCTGGTGGAAATAGGTGGGGATCGGAATACTGCCTAGGTAGTGTATACTTCGTAGGGAAGGGTGCGCTCGTATGGAGGATGCATATGCATGCAGACAACGTCCCTGCGTGCTCGATGTTTGTCAAAGGTCAATCCAGTTGGGCCTTGACCTTTGACTCAATGTCATCTGGTTGTAATGGAATGCAGTCGGCGGGAATCTGATGGCATCACGGCTGCGGCGCTGGCGTGCTTGATTTTTTTTGTACGCTAAGTTGGAAGTTGGGTGATGGTGACGGGTTAAAGACAAGCAAGCCCCGTTGTGGCTGTTGACGAGGCTGGTGCATTCAATGTTCGCATGGAAGGCGTACCTACCACTTCATCTCGTCGCAAAATCACGACTACGTCTTCGGGTGGAAAGAACATTTGCCATCTTCCTTCCAGATCCCGTTTCCTACCTCGAGAGGAAGGCATGTCCGCTCTTCCCCTCTGAGGATCAGGCAGGTAAGATGATGTATCTAGCGTGAGCCTCAGATAATGCCTTAGGTCCATAGGCAGCTTTCCTTCCATTCGTGACACTGAGTGATAGAGTAGTAACACCTCACTCAGATTCGGTCCCCCTACACAGCACGCACTTGGAGCCGTTCGATGACAGGATACGCTTCACTGACGACGCTACTTACGGTGAAGATCCGAAGTCACAGTTTTCCACCGGCGACGGATATACCTACACGGTACACAGCCCTCCCACCCGGCGGTTTACACACGGATGAACAGCCCTGCGCTCCCGGCTGTAGGTGTCTTGTATCCTCAACAGCTGCGTCGCACAAGCAGTCTTCGACATCTCAACCCTGTTGTGATGGTCACTTTTGACATCCAACATTGCCTGGCCATGTCGGAGAATTTGGCATCCCGTCTATGGAACGACCCGTGGCGGTCCTTGTCGGAGCTAGACTGTGCGAACGGTGGAATTGCACTTAAGATTACGGATACCTTACAACGATAACGCTCTTCCTTCAAGCCGTCCACCAGCGCTTCGACACGACAACAAGCCACTGCCGAGACACGATTGTGGAAGCGATTCCTAGCATCATGAAGTCCATCTTTGGACCGCCAACGTTGCCAAAAGTCACTGTAGTGGGGTGTCGTTGCTGGTACAAAGAACGCTCAGTCGTCTGTACCTGACCTGCAATTTCTTCGTCTCTCTCCCTCCAGCGCCACACAATGTCTTGGGCTCCGCCTTGGTGTTCGCTAAACAGTCGGTCAGGGAGTTCCCTACTCGCGCCCCAGCCGTCTTCTCAACCCAACCGAGTGGCGCGAAACCGGTCTTGCCACTGCGTCTCTGGGCTGGGACCGTTGGTACTGGCCAGGGGTGTTGCGGGACAAGCTGTGGGCAGCACTGGCACGCCTGGGAAGTGGGCGTGGCTGCCGCGGGTAGGCGTCCAAGGGGTGCCGTCCGGCATGGGCTACCCGTTTGGACGGTGAAGAGGGAGCACCAGGCTAGACCAGGGCCGGCTTCTCCAACGTCGCTGACAGCCCAAGGAAACCTGGCAAGCCTGGCGGACCCCGCGAAGCTTGAGCGAAACGGGTCTCACTTGACATTGTCAAGGCGAACGGGTTTCCTGAACATTGAGCTTAAACAAACTAGGTATCGGTACGCATACGGTGGTTATTACGACGCGGACAAGTTTGATGATCTCCCGGCTAAGCCAGGTTTTGGGAATGAAGTCAACATCAGCCTGGAGAACGTGAAGGAACGCTCACCGACCTCCAACTCGACCAGCTGGGGAGGATGATGACCCTGGTGGTTCTTAAGCTACCCTGAGCTCCAGGAGCTACCTGGTCAAGTACCCGCTCACAGGGCATCCGGGCCTAGGAATCCCAGGATCCCAAGGGCCAACTCGAGCCTTGCGGGTATGCTGCAACATTTGGCAACGTCTAAACATTCTTTCAACGTCAATCTCCACGTTCGAGGCATTCATGTGTCCATTCCTGCCAACGACCGCATCTGACGCTGACCGCAGTCTACGTAGTATGTCGGCGGTGAAATGTCGGGCAGCGGACTTCTGTCCCTCATCGTCTCGGGAATGGCAATTTCCTTGCTCATCATACCACGGCAACGCCGTCGCAAGAAACATTGCAGGAAGAGCGAATACCACTAGCGTTGCGAGCGGGCGTTCGGATTACTACCCACAGAGGTCACAGTACCATCAAAGATCCACAGAAGCGCAACAATGCTCAGGGCCCGGCGGCCCCTCCAATCACGCCAAAGGCACTGCACCCCCCCTTGGACGCGGCACGTATTCGATGACAAGTCCATCTATCCGTACGGAGTATGCTATTAGCATAACCTCGCCGATACTGGCGCATTCCAGAGACACATGGATGTTCCCTTCACATTATAGACAAAAGCTGTCACCGACCACAACGTTTTTC